AATCAATAGAGTTTGATTTGTAAAAATCTTAACCAATTTCCTGTAAAGTTTTCCAAAATGTCTCTCTCACAAAAGACTAATAATGATGTGCCAGCTCTAAGTCATACTGACATCCTACAAATGCCTCTTCCACATCATTCCTCCTCTTGTCACCATCAACCCTCCCCCAGCCCTGCCCTCCCAAAATAACCCAGCATCTGGACAATTTTCTATAAAAGAGAAACTCCTTTACTCATAGCTCTAACTCAAAATGCAGATGGAGTCTTTTCAAGGGTTCCTTTAAAAAAAAAGAAAAGAAAAAAAGCCCCCGTGGACAAAGACCAAACACTAGAAAACCTCAACCTCAAAGGTCATTTTTCTCCAAAGTTATGGGCACTGGAATACAGATGAGAAGGGAAACAGTCCGCAGGGCTGATGTGAGCTGTGAGAAAGATTGCGCCCAGGGACCTGGCGGAAGCCAGAGGGGTCTCAGGGAAGGAGGGTGGCAGCAGGCAGGACATCTGCTCCCAGATGAGGGGAGCTAGGCTGCCCCTCCCGGGCTGTCCAGACAGCCGAGGTTACTTCCTCCTCCCCAGGTGCTGTGGCCTACACCTCATTTTCCTCACTTACATTTGCTTTGGTCTTTACTGAACACGGAGGTGGTGAGAGAAATTGCCCTCGGGTTAAAGATGCACAATTAAAGATCCCACCAAAGCTTTCAGGCTGCTCCCTGGGCCTTGAGGTCGCAACAGCCATCATCTGATGCACATCCACACCAAAATGAGCAACAAAACTCCTGCGAGGGAGGACAAAGGAGCCACAATTCTCCTAAAAGCAGATAAAAACCTACTTCTCTATCAGGAAACAACTCCTAAAGCAAGAAAGGAATCTTGTTCCTCAAAATTAGAAACTCTTAAAGCATTTTAAACCACCTACAGTAACATGTAAGTGAAAAAAAATGTTTTCAAATGAAAAGCAGTCTCACACTCAACCAATACCTATCATGTTAATCTGAATTGCAACATGTAAAACAAAATGAGTGCAAAGCCCAGAAAGTGAAAGCCTATTACTGGCAAACCGACCACTCCAGTTTCACCTAGCTGAACAAAGTACAAAAATAAACAGTAAAAATGATGACAAATGGAAAATACCAGATGTTTTACCATGTTTATAACTAACATTATTACTCACCCAAGTACAACAGAACTTACACCTGTTAGTTTTTCATGATGGCATTCCTTTAGGATAGTCCCAATAAGCTGACTCAGGGACTTCTGAAAACCAACAAAAGGTGAAAGAAATGGACCTCACGCCAAGCCTCCAGATAGGCCCTGGCCCTGGCCCCAGCCCCAAACCTGTTTCTGTCTCCTATACACCTGAGGGGTAAACATACTCTGGTAAGACATGTACCATGCAGAGGCCTGGAACACTGAAAGCTCCTGGGAGCCTGCAGAACAGCAGGGAAGCTGGGATGGCTCTGATCCACAGTCCCACACCCATTCCCAGGGGGCACGCAGATCTGGCCCATAAAGTATCCCTGTCAAGTGGACAGATGTCAAATCATTCCGATACAGCACTAGGGAAGAATAATCTAAATTGTACATTCTAGTCCTTTCCCTGTCTTATGTAGAAATTCATTGCATCCCAAATCTCAATCTTTCCTCCTTCCCTTTAAGTTCAATTTTGTCCTTATTAAAATAAAGAGCAAGTTAGGCCTCCCTGGTGGTGCAACGGGTTGAGTGCCACGCTGTGACGCTGTCTACAGTCTCGCAGCACGGGCCAGGGAGATACCCACATGGTGCGGCAGACCTCTCCTGCCTCGCCTGCTGCTCCTCTCAGCAGTGTCTTCAGTCCATCTGCCTGTTCTTCTCCCTGCTCTGTCTCTGGTAAATTCTCTCACTCTCCCACGCCTCTGGTCTGTACACCAGTTCTTGTATAAATAAACAGATCTTTAAAAAAATAAAACAAAGAGCAAGTTATTATACTCCTTGAAACAATTATTCCCATACAATGAACTTATGTAGCCTGGACAAGAAACTAGTCATTAAAACTATATTTGATTTATTTTCTTTCTTTTGAAGCCCTGTTTTTGCACCTCTATTGATTTTTGCTCCTCTTATCCTGAGCTTTTCCAAAGATTCCACTGCTCTTGTTGGCCAGAGAACCTAAAAACAGAGATCCCAGAAAGAACCTGACCTATGATGACCTCTGCTGAATTGGAACTGACAACTTCATCAACCCAACTTCCAGGTTTTCTCTGAATCCTATCAGGATCAGGATCCTGCTACCTGCAAACTTCAGAGATTTTTTTAAAAGGGAGAAGGGATAGTTTAAGCTGCCACTAACAACAAATCTCAAGTCACTCCTAAGCTTCCCATCCCTTCCTTGCTGAGAGTGGTCCAATGGGTAGTCCACTGGAGTTGTCTGGCCCCAAGTGCACCTTCCTACCTGTTGATCACAGCATTGTGGAGGCTTAATGAAGTAGAGATGCATTACATTTATCACTTGCCCTAGATCCACTCAAATCTATCACTATGTCACAGCAAGAAGTTAGATTGATCTGACAGGATTTGCTCTTCTTCACAAACCCATGTAAGTTATTACTCAGTACCCTATGCTCTTCCAGCTGTTTGCTGATTGATTATCTGATGATCAGGTCAAGTATCTTCTCTGGAATCACAGTAAACTAACGGGTCTATAATTTCCAAGATCATTCGTATTCCCCTTTTAAAGATAAGCAAGACAGCAAATGCTTCTTCCAGAGTTCTCTAAAGCAACAGCTAATGCTTAGCTAATAATGAACCAGGGCAGCCAATTCCTTAAGTGCCCTTGGAATCACATCATCAGGGTTCATTGATTCTGGAGATAATCTATAATCAGACCCAGATTCTGGTAAACAGCATGAAGCCCTGCTTCAACCTATGTCTGGAAGGCCTCGGTTCCTAAGTCTGGTGAGGAAGTTGATGATACAAGTGACTTAAATATCTACTGCATTATGTCTTTCAGAATTGCAATAAATAAATAAGTAAATAAATAATAATGCCCTTGAAAGAAAGATGAAAGGTGATATTGACAGACCAAATTGAGACATGAATCAGACTTCACCTTCAGCAACATTGGCAGGACCCTCTGTAGGGCAAGAGAACAGAACTGTATAATTATCTGAGCATATAATCTTACTGAAAGTTCCAAAACAAACCTATATAGGCATAAGCCAGGAAGGAGAAAGCAGTAAATGCCATAAGGAAGGAGCCAAGCAATCATGAGGTACAGAAGGGGGATGAATCACAAGAAAAAGAGATGTGTTGGATTATAGACTCAGGTCCTACTGGGGCTTACTCAGTGACTGAAATTTTATGTCAGTAGGAGAAAATGATATATTGCTGATTCCCTGATTCCCAATTGAGGAGAATCTATATAACCAACACCCCACCACCCACCACCCAGAATATCTGGTAGTTTGGGTTGGCAAAGAAGTTAACTCTACAGCAGAAGCAGGAGCAAGAGGCTAAGAAAGTGCAGCACAGAGAGCTCCCAAGTCCATTCCCTTTTATGTAAAGTTCCTTTCCTGAGGACATTCTCCACATCCAGCTACAATCTTACCAAGTCTAAAGGCCTGATTCTAATGCCCTGGAGGCAGACCACTACTTTAAGGGCAAATAAGAAAGAAGAGAGGAGAATGGAAGAGCTAAAGGCATTGTGATAGCTGCTTTCTGGAAAATAGCCACTATTCTAAAGATAGACCCCCCCCCCCCCCTGGTGGAAATAAAACCCATAAGAAACGAAACCAATTTTTCTTGGAAAGTTCCCCATTCCTCCCATCTCCAAAATGCCTGATACCACCCATCTCCTTTTCTCCCTCCTACTTAACATTGCTCCCAGACCAACACGTCTACACATCTCGAATTATACACCTCATAATGTAGCCCCACAGGGAAGAGTACAGTCCTAGTGCCAGGCATGCCCAAGCCCCCACACTACAACAGTCACATCGGCCCCCAATCATTCCTTACATACAAACACCAAGTACTTGAATATCATCTAGCATAGGTACCCCTCCACTGTTAATTCAAGCATTCTGGTAATACTACCTTAAAGGTAAAAGGTCTCTGAACACAGTTGGTAACTAAGAAAAATAAGCAAACAAAGAAATTTTCCTTTCCAACAGACCAACAATGGTACGTGTTCAGGTTATATAGTGCTGCATATAGCAAATTGTCCCAAAACCTGATGGCTTAACATATCTGCCTTGTCTCCATCCTGTGAGACAAGAATTTGGAAGTGGCGCAAATGACCAGTCTGGTTCAGGGACTCTCCTGAGGTTGAAGTCAGATGTCGACCGGGGCTGTGGCTATCTCCAAGTTCTGACTGGAGCTGGTGGATTCACTTCCAAGATAGCACCAAGAAACATGACATGAAAGTTGTCACTGGCTTTAATCTAAGAGCCTTGGTTCTTACACACATGTATCTCTCCACAGGGCTGTGTGAGATTCCTCACAGTATGGCAACTAGCTCCCTCTAGAACAAGTGATCCAAAAGAACAAGGACTTCATGCCTTTTATGACTTCGCCCCTTCCACTGTGTTGTTTTGGTTATACAGGACTAGCTCTGACTCACTGAGGGAGGAGAACTACCAAGGGTGTAAACATCAGGAGGCAAGGTTCACTGTGGGCCATCTTGGAGGCTGACTACCCAGCATTCTTTAAAAGAACATGCTGCAGTGGCAGATAGAAGGTGGGAAGGAAAAGGACAGAGGAAGGATGGGACAGAAAGAAATATTTTGATTCCCAAAGGCTGCAACCAGAGGAAGCAATGTGCCTACTTCACTCCAGAGACTTCTCAGGGCTACCTGAGGTCTTACCCCAGCAAGCTTGAGTCAAATCCCATTTCCTAGGCAGGAGTTCCAGATGAATAGCTAAAGGAAGACATGAGAAAGTTCCTCAGGGTCCCAAAAACAAGACTATTATCTTCCCTCCCTCCTTGCCCACCCCACTTTTTTCTGAAGTAATGATGCAAGTTACCTGAGGATGAATCTGTGGTTTGTCGCACGTGGCCTCAAAGTCCAGCACTAAAAAGTAGTGATACCTCTGGAGAGGGAAGGACACCATTGTCGACATGGATGCGCCAAAGCCGTGGGCCGCCAGCTTTCTGGTGGATATGGAGCAGAACTCCGGAACACCACAGGGAGAAAATAAGTGGGAGCCCAGCACTTTTCTTGCTCTTGAAAGTAAATATGAAGAAAATCGAGCTGCTCCAGTCTGTAAAGGTGCTAGCATTGAACATCCAGAAGCATCTAAAACTTAGGGGAGGAAAGTTAAAAAAAAAAAAGACAAAGAAAAAAAAAAGACAGAGAGCCTGGGTTACTCCCCTCCCACTGTGGCCCTGTTCCATCTAGTCTTCAGTATATTCACACAACATGAACCACTCCCCAGTGTCTCTGGGACCCATTTCTAAATCACAGTATTCATTATGAAGTTCAAGACCCTAATACTGGCACCTGCAGCATTATGACAATTCTGAGTCTCCCAGATCATCCTCAAAACAACATGCAACATGGGCCTTCATCTTTACATGGAGCTCTACAGTTCAAGAGGAGTGAAAAATTCTATGGTCACTTCTCAGGTGGCAACAGTTAACATTAAAGCTAAGGTTCCCACAGTAACATGAGGCGACCCAGTTGCACAATCAGTCCTGATTGTGAAGCAGACTCAAACAGCAAAAAATATCCAAGATTCTCTCCTTAGCTCCTATGCCCCCTAGCTTTTGACATCATCTTCATACTCTCCTTACAGTACCACGGGGAACAGAGCCGATCACTGAGGAGCTTGCTCAAGATATTATGGTGATTCCCCAGCCCCCACACCAGTAAGCAGCACCCTGGGGGAATGAATGAAGCCTGGAGAGCACAGGTGGCAACAGCCTCAGGCCTTCCCATTTGCTGCCTTTAGACTCACTCTCTCCTAGAGGCCCTGAATGACTGCAGGACTTTTTTAAATAGGGGAGAAAGAGAGAAAACCCAGATGTGGCAGTAATAGGAGCATTGCTAAAAGCCTAGTAAAGTTTTCTGAGTGAACATGTGCAAAAAAAAAAAAAATCCAAATCACTTTTCAAGTTTTCCCTTTAAATCTGCAGAACGTCTGCTTCTCGAGAGGGCCAACTAAATATAAAAATCAAAGCCTAAGTTTTACTCACAAATAACTCAAGCTTTGCCTTCTCTGTCCTCCCCCCCAAACAGAACCAAGGCAGGAATGTTGTTTGTCACCCTTTTGTACCCAAGTCTCCTCAATTACAATTTTTAAAATCGTACAAGAAACCTCACTGCTCAATACAGAAATGGCCATAGTTTATGCCTTTGGAAGCCCAGGTCCAAAAAGGCCAAAAGTTTGCCTCTGAAAGGCTACTTGCTCTCCGAACAAACCTGTGATGTTTTGAACACACTCAAAGGCAATGAGGTCACTACTACCCAAGTGGATATGGACGATGCCAAGTTCACTTCTCATCCCAGCTCTCCCCTGACTCACTGAAGGAGCTGTGCTCACTTGCCTCCATATTTGTTAGGCTACACGATAGTGTGAGTCCACAATTTCCCATCCCTATAGTGAGAGTCCTTGGCTTAGTGGAGCTAAGACTGGAAAGAACTTTAAATTCTTCATGGATCCTACATCATCATAGTACTTATTTTCACCACAGCTTAACAGCTTCTCCAAAAACACAGCCCAAACTCCTCAGCCCAGAGTAGACAAAGGGTGCTTTGTGTTTCATCATGGAATCCCTTGGAAAGGCAAAGGGGACTATTATCCTTTTGAAGGCCAGAATTCAAAAGAACTCTTCACTCCTGAATAGTATGAAAGTCTTGCTGAGGTGGGAGATACCAGTCTGCTCAGATTTCACATGCTAACTTGGACCTTAAGTCTCTCAGGGCCCTAGAATTCTTTTGTAACCTTTTGAAATCAGGACATATATATGTGTTTTTGAGAGTCTTAACATTCTCCAATATGCCTATGCAGTGTATAAAGTGCATATAGAGTCAATCGGACCCCTTCTACCAAATGCTAAGGCAACTAAGCATAGCAATTAAGAAGGACCTCCAGATTTGAATGCTGGCTTTCCCATTTATTCGCCATGGCATCTTGGAAAAGCTGTTTTTCCTCACCTGTAATTACAGTATCTATTCCTTAAATGAGAATGAAATGAGAGGACACATGTAAAGCACCAACTGCAGTGTCTGGCACATAAAGCTCAGTATGAGCTTACTATTATTACCACTATTATCTAATTGGGCTATGCCCACCTAGGCAAGCCTGGATTCCCATACTTTGGGTCTATAAAGCCAATTAATGCATAAGCAACCTCAGGATAACATTAACTGCTTCTGCATCCCTAGAATGCTCTGGACCATCCATAGAACATGCTATATACATATCCTATCTCCTCTCATGAATAATATATTAATGGCTAAAGGTCTCTCTGCCTACATCTACATCAAAAAAGTTCTCTTACAGAAAGTCTTAGGAGACCAGGCTTCTACATGTCACCAGTCTCTGGTTTCCATACTTCCCTTACTTTTAACAACAAAGTTCAGCTTCAGTCCAGAAACAGAAGGCCATTCTTTCCTTCCTAAAAATTCAATCTAATAACTTTAGAGCCATTAGTTGTGGCTAAGGAAGCTGTGTCTATACCAGTTGGAGTCAAGAGAATCAGGGAGTGGGGATGGGGGGTTACTCAAGCCTAAGCAAGGAAGGAGGACATCCATGCAGAGGCAGGGAGGTATGAGGTAGCGTGTCAGATTTCATGTTGGCTGTGGAAGGGATCTGTGGCGGGGGAATGATATGCATCTGATGTAAGGAGTCATGGACAGGGTAAAAGAAGCACCCAAGAGGGGAAAAGACCATGGCAAAAATGAGAGATTAATTAGAGAGGTACTATACTAAGGGTAATGAGAAATAAGTTTCTCACAGAGGATGGAATTAAAATATGGAAAGGGAATAATCTGTGGTGTCAAATTGGAATTGGAGATAACAATGTGAACTCATGGCTTCTGACATATATATAATACAACAAAAATAAAGCTAGGGCCTCTTCGGTGACGCAGTGGTTGAGCGCTGGGTTGTGAAGCTGCCCACAGCCTCTGCAGTGCCGGCTCGATCCCCGGCTGCTCCCCCGCCACTGGAGGAGGATCCCACATGGTGCGCAGACCTCTCCTGCCGCCCGCTGCTCCCCTCAGCAGTGTACTTCGGTCGTTCTGCCTGCTCTGCTCCCCGCTCTGGCTCTGGTGAATTCTCTCACCCTCCCGCGCTTCTGACTGTACCCAGTGCTTGTATAAATAAATAAAAAATAAATCTTTAAAAAAAAAAGCTAGATGTTAGTGTATGTATATATGTGAGTGTGCATACACACAAATATATATGCAAATACATTTTTCTCTGTCCACTGAAGGGATTAGTTTTGGAGCAACACTCAATAGCAACGAGCATGTTTACCACCCAGTTGCCTTCTAAATAACATGATGCACTTAATGAACCAGAGCTCTTTGGAGAAATGGCTGATGCTGGGGCTGAGGCAGGAAAAGTGCAAGATAAGCCTGGAATAACTTGTGGCAGAAAGTAAAAAAATGCTCAAAGAATAATGGGTACACATTAAAAGTATGCAGAAGCCAGGTTGAAGGGGCTCCCAGTGGCAAATAAATAATGACATTAATGGATTATAATGCACTGAATAAAAAGGGAAACAATGATTCATAGATATAAATAATATAAATAAATATATAAAATTAGTTTAATAAGGGATATTTACCTAGTTTCAAAGTATCTCCCCATAGAATGCTTATTAATTATAACAGGGAGTAAGTCTGCGATGGAGAAGCCTGGCAGACATCACCTTAATCAAATGATAAAAATTAACATCATCAATAATGGGGCAAATCAAAATTATGCACCATAAGATAAGATGCAAAGAGAAAAACAAAGTGTCATTTTTGTGAAATTCTTACAGAAGATGCATAACTTGAACCTAACCAGGAGAAAGAATCAGACAAACCCTAACAGGGCACAGGCTACACAATAACCAGTGTGTAATCTTTAAAAGTCTCAAGGTCATGAGTGTCAAGGAAGGTTTATTGAAGAAAGTATAAAGGAGATTAGAGAGACTTGATAATTCAATGCCATGCAGGATTCTGAACTGGATCATTTTGCTAAAGAACATTACTGGGACAATCGGCAAAACTTAAATGGGTTTTGAGGATTAAATGGAGGTAACATATCAATGTTAAGTTCCTGGTTTTGATGGTTGCATTGTGGTTCGGTAGCAAATGGTCTTCCATGTAGGAAATGCCTGTAAAATATTCAGACTGGTGGGGCGTTAGGTCCGCAATTTAACTCCCGAATGGTTCAGGAATAAAATTCTGTTATTGTACTTCCATTTTTGGCATATTTCAAACTTTAATTTTTTTTTTTTACAAATCCATATTCAATGTGGTTTTTTTTATGTTTGTTGGTTGGTTTTTTAAAGGAAAGAAACAGCGCATACGGGCTGTTTGGGAGCCATCTCCTGATACTGCCCAGAGAAGGTAGGCTGCGTGCTCTCCTCTTGCAGGTGGCAGCAAAAAGCAAGCCCTTAAAGCATCTAGTCTCCATAAGAGCCCTCACTCAGCGCCCCTTCACTGACACTGCTGTTACCTTTAGCTCCTTCTCGGGAAATACCCCTGCACTGGCTCCTCCCTGGCCCTTGCACCCTCCCGCATCTTAGGGATTTCCCTTTTCTACTGACCTCTTTACACTTCAGTCACAAGTTCTGAATATAGAATCTGTGTCTATAACTTGTACCATCAACTAGGACTTCAAGTAGCTGGTTGAGGGGCAGAACTCAAAAGAAACAGCTTATGATTCATGAATTTCTGCGCACTATCACCAGAGCCTGAGATTTATACACATTTACTTATACTCAGACACTATTTTCCTTCTAGCAAATTAAAGGTAGTAAGTAGCCTATGGCAAAAAGAAAAGTGAATGATTGTTTCCTTGAAATGAAGGGACCAGCCCCCCATCAGAGACCAGGGAGGGGTACACAGGGACTGCCATGGGCCAGCCCCATTTGGAGAAACAGGCCTGCGCCACAGCCCCTGGAGAATGGTCTCTGTGCACAATATTTACACAATAGACACCAATGGCTCCTCTGCAGCCATTACTGTCGGTCAGGTAAATAACACATGTGCCAAAACACACATTTAATGAGGGAAATAATATGCCTTTATAAAAAGCCTCAATCTGTATTTACCTGAGAGACCAGAGAAGCACCAAATCA